GTAATTCCAAAAATCATGGCAATGGATGTTAGTAGGTTTATCCCAGCCAATGCACTAGCCATTATTTTTTAACCTCATTGGCTCTTGCTGAAGCTCAAACGTGCTGCGAAACACGAGAATGAACCTCATTGGCTCTTGCTGAAGCTCAAACGTGCTGCGTAACACGAGAATGAACCTCATTGGTTCTTGCAGAAGCTCAAACGTGCTGCGTAACACGAGAATGAACCTCATTGGCTCTTGCTGAAGCTCAAACGTGCTGCGTAACACGAGAATGAACCTCATTGGCTCTTGCTGAAGCTCAAACGTGCTGCGTAACACGAGAATGAACCTCATTGGCTCTTGCTGAAGCTCAAACGTGCTGCGTAACACGAGAATGAACCTCATTGGCTCTTGCTGAAGCTCTAACGTGCTGCGTAACACGAGAATGAACCTCATTGGCTCTTGCTGAAGCTCAAACGTGCTGCGTAACACGAGAATGAACCTCATTGGCTCTTGCTGAAGCTCAAACGTGCTGCGTAACACGAGAATGAACCTCATTGGCTCTTGCTGAAGCTCAAACGTGCTGCGTAACACGAGAATGAACCTCATTGGCTCTTGCTGAAGCTCAAACGTGCTGCGTAACACGAGAATGAACCTCATTGGCTCTTGCTGAAGCTCAAACGTGCTGCGTAACACGAGAATGAACCTCATTGGCTCTTGCTGAAGCTCAAACGTGCTGCGTAACACGAGAATGAACCTCATTGGCTCTTGCTGAAGCTCAAACGTGCTGCGTAACACGAGAATGAACCTCATGGGCTCTTGCTGAAGCTCAAACGTGCTGCGTAACACGAGAATGAACCTCATTGGCTCTTGCTGAAGCTCAAACGTGCTGCGTAACACGAGAATGAACCTCATTGGCTCTTGCCGAAGCTCAAACGTGCTGCGTAACACGAGAATGAACCTCATTGGCTCTTGCTGAAGCTCAAACGTGCTGCGTAACACGAGAATGAACCTCATTGGCTCTTGCTGAAGCTCAAACGTGCTGCGTAACACGAGAATGAACCTCATTGGCTCTTGCTGAAGCTCAAACGTGATGCGTTTCATGAGAATGAACCTCATTGGCTCTTGCTGAAGCTCAAACGTGCTGCGTAACACGAGAATGAACCTCATTGGCTCTTGCTGAAGCTCAAACGTGATGCGTTTCATGAGAATGAACCTCATTGGCTCTTGCTGAAGCTCAAACGTGCTGCGTAACACGAGAATGAACCTCATTGGTTCTTGCAGAAGCTCAAACGTGCTGCGTAACACGAGAATGAACCTCATTGGCTCTTGCTGAAGCTCAAACGTGCTGCGTAACACGAGAATGAACCTCATTGGTTCTTGCAGAAGCTCAAACGTGCTGCGTAACACGAGAATGAACCTCATTGGCTCTTGCTGAAGCTCAAACGTGCTGCGTAACACGAGAATGAACCTCATTGGCTCTTGCTGAAGCTCAAACGTGCTGCGTAACACGAGAATGAACCTCATTGGCTCTTGCTGAAGCTCAAACGTGCTGCGTAACACGAGAATGAACCTCATTGGCTCTTGCTGAAGCTCTAACGTGCTGCGTAACACGAGAATGAACCTCATTGGCTCTTGCTGAAGCTCAAACGTGCTGCGTAACACGAGAATGAACCTCATTGGCTCTTGCTGAAGCTCAAACGTGCTGCGTAACACGAGAATGAACCTCATTGGCTCTTGCTGAAGCTCAAACGTGCTGCGTAACACGAGAATGAACCTCATTGGCTCTTGCTGAAGCTCAAACGTGCTGCGTAACACGAGAATGAACCTCATTGGCTCTTGCTGAAGCTCAAACGTGCTGCGTAACACGAGAATGAACCTCATTGGCTCTTGCTGAAGCTCAAACGTGCTGCGTAACACGAGAATGAACCTCATTGGCTCTTGCTGAAGCTCAAACGTGCTGCGTAACACGAGAATGAACCTCATGGGCTCTTGCTGAAGCTCAAACGTGCTGCGTAACACGAGAATGAACCTCATTGGCTCTTGCTGAAGCTCAAACGTGCTGCGTAACACGAGAATGAACCTCATTGGCTCTTGCCGAAGCTCAAACGTGCTGCGTAACACGAGAATGAACCTCATTGGCTCTTGCTGAAGCTCAAACGTGCTGCGTAACACGAGAATGAACCTCATTGGCTCTTGCTGAAGCTCAAACGTGCTGCGTAACACAAGAATGAACCTCATTGGCTCTTGTTGAAGCTCAAACGTGCTGCGTAACACGAGAATGAACCTCATTGGCTCTTGTTGAAGCTCAAACGTGCTGCGTAACACGAGAATGAACCTCATTGGCTCTTGCTGAAGCTCAAACGTGCTGCGTAACACGAGAATGAACCTCATTGGCTCTTGCCGAAGCTCAAACGTGCTGCGTAACACGAGAATGAACCTCATTGGCTCTTGCTGAAGCTCAAACGTGCTGCGTAACACGAGAATGAACCTCATTGGCTCTTGTTGAAGCTCAAACGTGCTGCGTAACACGAGAATGAACCTCATTGGCTCTTGTTGAAGCTCAAACGTGCTGCGTAACACGAGAATGAACCTCATTGGCTCTTGCTGAAGCTCAAACGTGCTGCGTAACACAAGAATGAACCTCATTGGCTCTTGTTGAAGCTCAAACGTGCTGCGTAACACGAGAATGAACCTCATTGGCTCTTGTTGAAGCTCAAACGTGCTGCGTAACACGAGAATGAACCTCATTGGCTCTTGTTGAAGCTCAAACGTGCTGCGTAACACGAGAATGAACCTCATTGGCTCTTGCTGAAGCTCAAACGTGCTGCGTAACACGAGAATGAACCTCATTGGCTCTTGCCGAAGCTCAAACGTGCTGCGTAACACGAGAATGAACCTCATTGGCTCTTGCTGAAGCTCAAACGTGCTGCTTAACACGAGAATGAACCTCATTGGCTCTTGCTGAAGCTCAAACGTGCTGCGTAACACGAGAATGAACCTCATTGACTCTTGCTGAAGCTCAAACGTGCTGCTTAACACGAGAATGAACCTCATTGGCTCTTGCTGAAGCTCAAACGTGCTGCGTAACACGAGAATGAACCTCATTGGCTCTTGCCGAAGCTCAAACGTGCTGCGTAACACGAGAATGAACCTCATTGGCTCTTGCTGAAGCTCAAACGTGCTGCTTAACACGAGAATGAACCTCATTGGCTCTTGCTGAAGCTCAAACGTGCTGCGTAACACGAGAATGAACCTCATTGGCTCTTGCTGAAGCTCAAACGTGCTGCTTAACACGAGAATGAACCTCATTGGCTCTTGCTGAAGCTCAAATGTGATGCGTAACACGAGAATGAACCTCATTGGTTCTTGCTGAAGCTCAAACGTGCTGCGTAACACGAGAATGAACCTCATTGGCTCTTGCTGAAGCTCAAACGTGCTGGGTAACACGAGAATGAACCTCATTGGCTCTTGCTGAAGCTCAAACGTGCTGCGTAACACGAGAATGAACCTCATTGGCTCTTGCTGAAGCTCAAACGTGCTGCGTAACACGAGAATGAACCTCATTGGCTCTTGCTGAAGCTCAAACGTGCTGCGTAACACGAGAATGAACCTCATTGGCTCTTGCTGAAGCTCAAACGTGCTGCGTAACACGAGAATGAACCTCATTGGCTCTTGCTGAAGCTCAAACGTGATGCGCAACAGAAGAATGAACCTCATTGGCTCTTGCTGAAGCTCAAACGTGCTGCGTAACACGAGAATGAACCTCATTGGTTCTTGCTGAAGCTCAAACGTGCTGCGTAACACGAGAATGAACCTCATTGGTTCTTGCTGAAGCTCAAACGTGCTGCGTAACACGAGAATGAACCTCATTGGCTCTTGCTGAAGCTCAAACGTGATGCGCAACAGAAGAATGAACCTCATTGGCTCTTGCTGAAGCTCAAACGTGATGCGCAACAGAAGAATGATACATACTTTTTTGTGCATCTTTAGCAGCGCAGGTAAAAATCTGATGCGTCGCGACTGGGCCAGTGGTAAAACACTTAGCGTAGTACCCTCATATATTAAAGGCACAGCTACACATGTGACAATTATTACGATGCGTTTATCTGAAGATTGTTTTACGTTCACTTAAATTAAAAGTTGTAATATTTTTTAAAGCCTATTAAATATTCAAAAAAAATTATAGCTTTCAATTAACGTGTAGTGTTGAATGGCTGTAATTGATGGCTAAAATAAATAAAAAGATGCCTTTAAACAAAAACAAATACAAATAAAATACTGTTATTTCTACATTATTTTGGTGATTTAATTTTGAAAGTATTACAAATGTAACTTTAATGCTAGGTGTGATTAATTGCAATTGATTACAGAAAAATGTACAGATTAATTAATAATTTTTTAATCTATTGACAGCACTAATATATATATATAACTTTTTTCGCCTCTTCTCTTTCTCTGTATTTTGTTCTCAACTGTGACTAATCGTGATTAATAATCGTGATTATAATTTTGCTGTGCTCTTGCTGAACTTTTTCCTGCTCCCAGTCATCCATTAATAAAACACAACATTCAATTTATCTGATCAACAAAAGCCCTTTAAACATTGGAAGCCAGCTTTCCAAGAAACAGCTGACACGTTCACAGCTGAATCCCGACAACCCCGAAATAGCCAGTTATTGATCCATCGAACGGGCGTCTCTCTCTCTCTCTCTCTCTCTCTCTCTCTCTCTCTCTCTCTCTCTCTCTCTCTCTCTCTCTCTCTCTCTCTGTCTCTCTCTCTCTCTCTCTCTCTCTCTCTCTCTCTCTCTCTCTCTCTCTCTCTCTCTCTCTCTCTCTCTCTCTCTCTCTCTCTCTCTCTGTCTCTCTCTCTGTCTCTTTCATTCGTCCTCTCACTCTGACCGATTTTTCCACCCCCCCCCCCCCTGTCATTAGTTGCCATGGCGACGTCTCCGTGGCGTTATTGTGGAGCGGTGGGTGTGTATTGTTCACTCGCATGAAAGACGGAGGGGGATTTGGGGACATAAAGAGGGGGAGGAGAGCGGATGAGACTCGCTGGCTTCCCTCACACTCCTCAGACGGGGAGCCGAGTGTGTGTGGAGAACACTGCCG